ACCTTTTGTTGAACATATAGACTTATCTTTATTGATAGTCTTCGATTATCTTCCTTAGTTTTGTAAGAGAATAAATGTTCGAAGAATTACATATTCTTTGATTTCGTTATCGTGTTCTTGTGAATCTCGGGGATTTTCGATTCATACACAAGATGTCGATATGTCATGCTATAATCTACATAGCCAATATGATCCACCGATTTGAGATTTCGTTTCCTTCGATAATGAGATCATTATCTTTACAAGACACCCCACATTTTTAAGTAATTGTAGAAAGATTTTCTACACTTCCATAACTCATATGGTGACTTGTCAATTTTTTCAGAGAACCTTATTTAAAGGGTAATTAGCTAAAAAAAAACAGGTTCCCATCATGTTCTGTGATAACCCAGAACTTCTTAACATTGTGTTCATCATTTCCTTTTTATAATTTAATTCTTCCGCTTTACTACTCCATTTAATTCAGAAGGGTATGATGGTGTCACTTCATGAATAATTTATTTACAACATAATCTGATGTTCAAGATATATCTTGAGTGTTGATCATCTCGTTGTTGTATCCTGTGAGACAGACGAATAAAGATCTCGAGCACTAAGGAATGGCTGAAAATATGTCTTAAGGAAACTGTGTAGTTGCAGGCCTTAAGTTGTTTTCAATAGGTTGTTTTGTAAAAATTGTGTATTTATTATTTATACTCCTTTATGTTATTAATTTTTTTCCTTTCCATGTTATTAATCATTTTGTTTTATTCTTGATTCATATACACAAATTTTGTGATGAGAGCCTACCGAGGTGTTGATCGTCCTTTGCCTTAATTTGTTGAATCACCGTGAAAAAAATTACGAATATGTTTCTTGATTATTTTTGGTTTTATCGCTACATACCAATTTTTGTGCTCAGCTCGTATCTGTAATTCTTCTTTTGCATTATTCCCCTGATAATCAATACAATAAAATAATTTCTCCCAATTTAAAGGCACTCATATCAAATCCTTGTGAAATTGAGTTTTGGCTATTGTTTTGTTCTAGCACTTCTAGTTACAATAAACCCTGTGGTCCGACTGAAGTTGACTTTTAGGGGTCTTCGTGTGTCTCCTCTTCAAGCTATCATTACTGCATATCATTTGTTGATGCGTACAGCCATAACTATCTGATGTAAGTTACAATACTAAAAAAAACTTAACATTTTAAGAAGCTGAGAGAGCTTGGGAATTTGGAAAGAAACTTGGTTTTCAAATTGAAGGGATGACAGAGAAAATATTTTGAAGCTGAGAATATTTGTTACAGGATTTTCCACATCTATGGCTGTTCATTCAGTTAATTCGGTGGTCGAACCGACCAAATTATCATTAACCGAATTTTTTTTTCTTTAACCGTTAATCGAACTGAACTTTTTTTTTTGAAAATATTAATCGAACCGAATAAATTTCGGTTAATTCGATTAATTTTCGAATTAACAAAATTTTTAAAATTTTCTAATTTATATAAAAATTAAATATTTTTATAATTCAAAAAAACAGTTTATAATTAATTTAAATAATATATAATTATAAAATAAAAAATTTATATAAAATTTTTAATTAATTAATATTGATTTAGGTTTAAAAGTTATTATATCTTAAATTATTAATTGGGTTTTAAATAGTTTGGGCTGAACCCATATGTTATATATAATATATTTAATATTTTTTAATTCAGAAAAACAATTTACAATTAATTTAAATAATATATAATTATAAAATAAAAATTTTATATAAATTTTTTAATTAATTAATATTTATTTAGGTTTAAAAGTTATTGGATCTTAAATTATTAATTGGGTTTTAAATGGTTTGGGCTGAGCCCATATGTTATATATAATATATTTAATATTTAAAATTTTATTTCGATTAATTAACCGATTTCGAACCGAATTAACCTTTAACCGAATATCCAAAAAACCTTAATCATTTCCCGACCGAACTAATTCGGTGGCCGATCGAATTAACCGAATTAATTGATTCGATCAGTTAATTCGGTTAAAACCGAATTTTGAACACCCCTAACAACAGCCACTATACCCAATTACTTCAAAAAGATGTTCCATTCTATTGGACATAAATGCAATAGAAAAGTTTTGGTCAACTTAAGTCCATTATGAAAAATACCCTATCCTAGCTCAACTCAAAACGGAATAAGGACTTCATTGTAATAAATTATCCCAAGTAGCTACAATCTTTTTCTAAAAGAAAATGTGCCTCGTTCAGAACCCCTTATAAGACCTATAAGAGGAAAAGAGTACCTTAGGACCTTGTATTATTAGAAGAAAAATCATTGGATACAACAGACGTAATAATCTCGGGACAAATCGAGTCAAAATACAAGACATTTCCAGAACGAATAGCTCACTTAACCAAAGTATTTACCACAATATTACAAGCTCTAGGAACAAAACACACTTTGTAATTTAAATTAGCATCTAAAATTCTATGAGCTTCCTAAAGATTATAACCCAAAATGGACAAGTCTTTCTCCGATCGAGACATCTTTTTAGCTATAAGCGTTGAATTCGATTCAAAGATTACATGCGTCCAATGATACACATTTGCCAAAGTATTACATTTAGAGCATGAATCTCCTAAAGTCTAGATTTGACACAACTTGGTGACGATACAATCATGTCCCTCGAATAAAATGAGCATGCACATATATAATAAAGCATCGAAATAGCAAAGAGAATTGCATTATGACATACCTTAGCACTTCCATTGTTGGGAAAATGCTTAATTTATTTATAACTAAACTTATAAATTATGAAATTCATACATGATTTGTCTACAACAAAGCACATCAAACAACACATATACACAAAATGTATCGATAGATTCAATATTGACTTACGATATTTCTTGGATTGACAATTACTTGATTAGTTTTGATTTTATCTTAACATCGCAGAATTTCAATAAATCCCCTTATCAACTTGATACTTTTTTTTTCGAAAAATTTATTTTATGAAGGATTTGAAGAACAAACCCAAGACTTAAGTTGCGTGTCTTATTAAAAACCTCTCTCTACCTAATTAGAGGAAAAGAGTACAACACAATTAAGAAAGATACAACTCGACAATAAAAGTAACAAACTGACAACAATTAACAAACGCCTATACGATAAAAAAAATCAGCATATCGCAATTACAACCCTGGTTTTCGCTTATAAAAATCCCTTACAACGGTGCTTTAAAAACTCACTCCTACCCACCCCTTCGTTGGCTCGAAGACCCGTCAATCCATTGATGTATCTTAAAAATATGTAAAATTAAAAACTTCACTATAAGTGAATCAAACCTTATATATTTTATAAATTATGATTGAGTTCATCCAATCTACCCAAACAATCACATTCGTGACCAAATATTTCCTCTGTTCTTGACCAATCATTCCTCATCTAATTTGGAATTTCCTCCGAGTTTAAAGTACTACTGCAAACAAATAGTACAAACATTATCTCAAAATAAATAAAGGAATTACCAGAAGTATGGGATTGCAGACTTAGTGTCATCATATATATATATATATATATTGAATGTTTGTAGCAATAGAAGCTTTTCCCAGCAAAAACCTTAAATTTCCAACTTTGTTGCAGCTTTAGAAAGATGGGTTTTGAAGCCAATAAACCCCACGCTGTATGCGTCCCATATCCATTACAAGGACATGTAAGCCCCATGATGCAACTGGCTCAGCTCTTACACTCTAGAGGCTTCTTCATATCCTATGCTAAGACTGTGGTCAACCATAGGCGTTTGATCAGGTCCAAAGGGCCTGACTCCGTTGAAGGGTTACCAGATTTCAGGTGAAACGATTCCCGATGGACTGCCGTCATCCGATCGTGATGCAACACAGGATGTTCGAGCTTTCTCTGGTTCGACACGAAAGAATTGCTTGGCACCATTTTTAGAGCTACTATCTAAGATAAACTCGTCGCCCCAACTGTAAGCACCCATTTCTATGGGTGGTTAGACCCGATGTCGCAATCTGTGAATCGGCTGTTTTGCCAAGAGAATTCATGGAGTAGATAAAGGGAAGGGGTTTGATAACAAGCTGGTGTCCCCAACAAGTGTTGTCCCACCCGGCGATTGGCCTCTTCTTGACACACTGCGGGTGGAATTCTTTATTGGAAGCCCTGACCGAAGGTGTGCCTTTAATATGCTGGCCTTTCTTCGCCGATCAACATACGAATTGTCGGTATTCATGCACCACATTGGACACCGCCATGGAAATTGTCCCCGACGTAAAGCGTGAGGATGTGGAGGCTTGTTAAAGAGATGATGGAGGAAGGATATAATGGGAAATGATAAGACGAAAGGCCTTGGACTGGAAGAACAAAGCTGAAGCTGCAGTTAGTTGCGGAAGATCTTCCCTTACCAACTTCGATAGAATGATCAAGGAGGCCCTACGTCACGGATGAGCAGTAAAATAACTTTACAATCGATAAATATTTGCAAGACTGACACGTTAAAAATTAGGGTAAATTACTTGTTTAATATTTAAACTATCAATTTTGATCCGTTTTAATAGCTAAACTTTCAATTTTTTCAAAACCATACGTTAAGTTTTGTTTTTATATTTTTTAGTAACTCGTTCAAAATTTACGTTAAGTTTAAAAAATATTGAAAGTTTAGGTACTAAAATATACCAAAACTGATATTTAGGTATTAAACGCATTATGCTTTAATAACGATGTACTAAAATGAAACAAAAACTAAACATTACATATGATTTTAAAAAAAATTAAAAGTTTAGATATTAAAACGGAAAAAAATTAATAATGTAGATACTAAATACGTAAATTACCCTAAATAGTACATATACATGTAACTTACAATTGTTATTTGAAAGCTATAAATTAATTAGGGCTAATTCAAACGAACGAGGTAAGTTTTATCGTCATTCATTCATAATAACTTTGAAAGAAAAAAAGAGAGACAAAATTGAGGGGTTACATTGTTGCCCAAATTATAGTTCAATCTCAAAGAATGGCTAATAAAAGACTGTAATCACAGAGGAATTTATCTCTTCTTACACCTCGCTGTTTACATCGAGATTCATTTATATGGGACAAAACTATCACAGCATAATCTTACCTTACCTATCACTCCAGATATTAGAAGCTTTCAGCTTTCCTACTTCATGCATTTTCAGAACATCGAAATGTGTTTTCGCATGTACTGGTAGTTCCAACTTCGGAAGCTGCAAACACCGAACAGCGAATACGATTTCCGGGGCAGATAGCACCTAATATCGGTTTATTCACCTAAAAGACTCGATCTCTCTCCTATTGCTTGCTGTCTTATCCTTGCTTAAGTCGGCAAGCTCCTCAATAAGCCTCTTCTCTTCACTGCTCAGTCTTTTCGGAATTTCAACTTGGACGCGGACCAACTGATCACCCCTCATGTTGGTTTTATTTAGAACAGGAACACCTTTCTTGGCCATTACAAGGGTGGTGTTTGGCTGTGTTCCGGCTGGTATCTTCAAATCAACCATACCATCCACAGTTGGAACCTTGATTGTTGTTCCCAGTATAGCATCTATATATGAGACCTTGCAGGTGTACAATATGTTGGTATCATCACGTTTTAGGACAGGGTCTGGGATGACTTCAATGACTACAAATAGATCACCAGGGTACCCACCTTTCCTTCCAGCATTTCCTTCAGACCGGACCCTTAAACGGCTACCAGAGTCCACACCAGCCGGCACTTTCAAACTAATCCTCTTCGTTCTCCTTACCCGCCCATCACCAGAACATGTATTGCATGGGGTAGAAATTTCCCCTGCCCCGCCACATGAAGAGCATGTCATTACCTGCTGGAAGACCCCCAGTGGAGTCCTTGCAGATGAGATAACCTGGCCTTGCCCACCACATGTGGTACATTTGGACGGTGTTGTTCCAGGTTTTGCACCAGAACCATTGCAAGTTCCACAGCTTTCTAATCGGTTTATGTCGATTTCTTTCTCAACTCCAAACACTGCTTCCTTAAAATTCAATAATAGACTGTAATATTCATCCTGCCCATCAACAGCTCTACTCCTGGAACTTTGTCCGCCCATGCCCATGCCACCCATACCACCCATGCCTTCAAATAGCGACTCAAACAGATCAAAGGGATTGCTGAAATCCTGTCAAAGCAAACATGGCATATATGCCGAATGAAATATAGAGAAAATACAAGAAAAGTGATTTGGAAATGAATGATCTTATTCAGCATCAGTAGAATTAACTTACCCCCATTCCCATACCACCACCTTTAAGTCCAGCCTCCCCATATTTGTCGTATAGAGATCGTTTCTCATCATCCGACAATACCTAAGCAATATAATACACCTCAAATACTAGATATGATTATACATCCAAAAGAAACCATAATAAGCACAACATAGTATTCTTACCTCGTATGCATTGCTAATTTCCTTGAACTTTGTCTCTGACCCTGGATCTCTGCAGAATATTATATGATGATGAGAAAGGTGGGGGGAAGCACTATTGTTCGAGCATACATGAGTTAAAGAATATATTTTAACTAGCAAAACAAAATGAAAACAACAAATTTTCAAGAAAAAGTACTTGTAAGTCAGAGATCTTCGAAATACTGCTCTACACTCTCTTCATTTCAGCAATTAATTCTACGAATATAAGAACAAAACTCAACAAACACCTAAGTTAGGAAATTTAGGACTACTACATTTTCTCTTTCTTTCAACCACCACATTCTGTAAGAGCTCATTTTGGATAAACTTTTTATTAAAGCCCCTGCTTGAAATAGACAGACATCTCTTCGGCACTTTTCTATTGAAAAGTTCTTAGCCAACTTCAAATACTCAAACCAGAGAGAGTGTGCTACATCAACAAATCATCACAGTTAATTCCTCCATCCTGAGATGAGGATATTATAATGAAAATAAGTGGATGTTGACCCAGCTCATTAACATGATCTCTCGGGGAATTCTAAATTTCTATCCTGCCTTTCAACAGTACTAAGAAAAGGGTCATGCAAGAACTAATGAAACCCATTTCCCAGAACCCAGCAAGGAAGTTAATTTCTATCGTTCGACCAGACTAAGGGAATACATTTTTCTGAACATCATTGTGGTCACTTCTACATTAAACAACTTGTACCACCACTAGATCTTAAAATGGGAAAGAAAAAAAACTAGTAGAATAATTAGAAACTTTGATGATTCTCAGAGACTAACCAACACCACATGGCCCAAAATATTCACACAAGTTTTCTCATATGGGTCTATATAGCCAATTCAGATGTGAATTGTCAGCTATTTATTTCTTCTGAGATTAACTTTCAGTGAGCAGATTGTTGCCAATCTGAATCTGATTTTCAGATCGCATCACATCAAATCCAAGAAAATCCAGATGACTAGAGCTTGCTAATATAATCATGTCATGTTTTTATTTGAACCACATCAAATTGAAGTTCCAGTTTACTAGCACTGCACATCACACATAAATATAATGAAATATATAAAAATGCAATGAACACAACCATAAATAGAAGGCAAGAGATATAAGGTTATCAACTGACTTGTTCACATCCGGATGGTAACTTCGAGCAAGCTTACGATAAGCTGAAAAAACCAACAGATTTAGAAAAAGTAAGATAATATAATACGGAAGACAAAAGCAGGAAGTAACCATGGAAAAAAAATTGAAGCTCCAATCAAAGCAGGACAACCACAAAATTTCCTTCATATAGTTTAAACACCTAAAATCTTTTCATTAGCAAAGAACATGAATGTGAATACCACCAAATGTTAACTACCCTGGTTGATCCATTGTCTTATTCTTAAAGTTGCAAGCATTCCTTTTATTCCCCTTGTAATTATGCACCTTGATGTATCCCAACCGAAATATGATGAGACCTTTTCAATTTTTATACATGCTCACTGTGTACTTAGTTATACCCTCAAATTTGTCTTAACGTCACTTCACATCAATCCAAACTTTCTAGATTCTCTTTTATTTATGTTATTAACACCTACCCTCCCTTAACATTAAAGCTTGTGCATCAGTGTTTTACGACTTTACATGCAGAAACCCTTAAATCCTGGATAAACTTCACTTCATCAAATTGAAAAATCATCAGATTTGACATTGGAGGTTCTGTACAAGGAGGTTTTTGAGTTTTCAGGGTTAATCTTGTACAAGGAGGTTCTGTATCGCTTTGACATTGGATAGGCCGCACTCTTTTTCCTCCATTTAGGACTTGGGAGTTTTTTAACGAGGTCCCTAACAATGCATTTTCTCTTTGCTATCAATAAAATTAATTTACCTTTCAAAAAAAATCAAATTGAAAAATCATAAATAAGAAAGTAAGTTAGCAAACAAAAATAAGCACATAAATGCAGCAAAAAAAATTATGTAAGGAATAAATAGATGAGTCACTGAACAAGTTCTGCTAACTCAGCTTACCACTTTTGATTTCAGATTTACTTGCATTTCTCGACACCCCAAGGACAGTATAATAATCCTGCTCAAAATGTATAATTAAGTCGTTAAAAACCAGTAAAGCCTATTTTCAACCCGAAAAAATTACAACAAAAAAAAGAAAAAGAAATTGTAAGTAGTTTGCACTCACAGTTTCAGCTCTAACAATGAAGCGTGCTCCCCTACGATGATGTGATGTTTGAGATGACCTCATAAATGATAAAAACGGTAAGGAATCACGTGAAAACAAGCCAGAATTTGATGATCCCAAATAACTCATTGTATTTGTGACTCTGCATAAGAGCAATAAACCCCAAAATGATTATTCCATGATTACCAACAAATAGACTACTATGGTTAAGAGGTAAAACATCACATTTTTTTACACAGGTATATCTTTAATCAACCATCAAGTATCAACAAACATAAATACAGTCTAAACAAAAAGAGTAACTACAAAGGGGGTATATCTGCCCATCTAACCATTATGTTCACCAATATGCCATGCATCAAATTCACAAATGCAAATCAATGCTAGTGCAGAAACCAAAACTAGCGAGTAGCAATGAGCCCGCAAATTCAGTAATTCCAAATCCATATAAAGGTCTAGAAGGAAATAAGTGCACTTCAATGATCAAATTCAATAATACCCTTTCTATATGCAAAAGAATTAAGTAGAAAACTAACCCCAATCTAGCTGTCACCATTCGATTTGGGACATAAGGACGTATTGCAAATTGAGGACGAATACTCCACTGGGCAACAAATGTGCTTCCACATGGTATAATGGCCATCCAATATGCGGATAGAGGACCTGAACTCCAACTTTATGCTGAATGACCTTTAGCAGGCTGAAATAGATTAAACATTTATGAAACTTGATTGATTGACAGCACAATAAAATGACCAAATTCAATCCGTTATAAAAAGTAAATGAAAAGAAATAATATGACTTTCATTTCATCTATCACTGATTTAATACATAAGTATACCAATCAAAATAAAGTCCAGAATAGAGAAGTTTTCTAATAATTACAATTATAATATTTATGTATTAAGAGCAAATAAAATAAACTGGAAACTAGTTTCCGCTAAACTTCACTGACCACTGACCCTAGAAACAAAGGTATTGATTTGGTCGGCATTAAACACTTCTTCTTATTCACTATTTCAAGGCCAACTAGCTTTTCTTTCAAAATTAATGCCTTCAAAAGTTAGTTTTGGTTTAGGTAGCATCTACCTTTCCTTGAGGATTTCAACTACCAACCCTTTATGAAACACATTTCTCGCCGAGCTATTATTATTAACTAATCTACAAAATCATTTTTCTTCCTTCTGTAGGAAAAATAAAGATTTTTTAACATGTTCTTTTTTTATTTAAAAAAAAAACACTTGATCAAAAGCTAACCAAAGTACTCCAAAAATTCCTATCCACTAGAGTTAACTATCCACCACCCAGTAATCAAAACTGTCGGCAACAATAAATCTAATAAGAAAACACATGAAATTACAAAAAACTAGAAGCCAGATAATTGATATAAGATTAAAATTTTCAACATGTATGCCATACTTGTAGAACTAAAGCAAATTGGTATATCGATTCTAAGGGGAAATGATTGAATAGAAATGGAGAATTTAAATGTAAAATATGGGGAAGGGGAAGAAGAGCAAGCCTTGTTTGGCTCCAAAGCGATTTGCTCTCACCGAGAAGGAACAGAGGATGAGGTTTGCTTAGCGCCTCTAAATATAGAGTTTTATTTAGTTAGCTGATTTTCGTGGTAGGTTGTTCTCAACTTGCAACCTATATTTTCCACCGTTAGATTGAAATGAAATGGAAATTTTGTTACTTTGTTCCCTCCGATTTTATAAAGTAACTATATTTTTGTCTAGACTAAAAAAATTTTGAAATTTTTTTATAATTTTTATTTTAAATTATTGGGTTAAACTATGCATTTAGTACCTAAATTATCAACTTTGATCCGTTTTAGTACTTGAACTTTCATTTTTTTTATAATCATACCTAAAGTTTAGTTTTTGTTTCATATGAGTACCTCGTTCAAAATTTAATGTTGAATTTTGAAATAACTTGAAAGTTTAGGCACTAAAACGGACTAAAACTGATAGTTTAGGTACTAAACACGTTAAATTTTTAACGGTGGGTACTCAAATGAAACAAAAACTAAACGTTAGGTATGATTTTGAAATAATTGAAAGTTCAGGTACTAAAATGAATGAAAACTGATAATTTAGGTACTAAATAAATATTTTACCCTAAATTATTTTTAGGATAAAGTATACAAATGGTCTTCAATTATAAGGCATTGTCTTGTTGAATTCTTTAACTATTAAAAGTTACAAAATAATTTCTCGAATATAGGATATTATTTTGTTATATCCTCCAACTATTAAAAATTACAAAATGATCACCCAACGATTCATATGTTCTAAACTCATTCTTTTCATGAAAAAAAATTAACAATCATATGAGCTAGACATTAATCTGTTAACTAGTATATGATAAAATTATATTTAATGATGGTCATTGTCATCGTTATTGCTTTCAATCACTAACTTAATGACATAATATAAACGAAAAATCGACCCACAAAATATAACTCTAACGATTTTAGTATCAAATTTTATCATAATTTTAATTTAACGAAATATTAAAAGTTTGAATTTCAATGGTAGGGGTGGATAAGTGCTAGGATAATGGTTTAAGAAAAAAATAGCTTATACGGGTACTAAAAATATTTTTATAATAAGGTGAAATGAATAGCGTAGGGGAAGTCGCTAGGAGCATATGACTTTTTGGAAAGGCAATCGGAACATTTGGCATTTTCAAAAAATTAATCGGAACACCTGACGTCTTCAAGCTCTGCATCTTCGTCAACAAAATTTTATTCTATTTTTTAAAAACAAATCAACCCTATATTGTACTTGTTAAAGACGCCAAATGCTCCGGTTGACTTTCCGACGATACCAAGTTCTTTAACACTTCCTCCTACCCTATTCATATTTCACCCTACTTAATAAAATAATTTTTTTAATACCCATATATACCATTTTTTTTAAACCTTAATCCCAACAATTTTACCGGTAAGAGCATATATCGTCCTGTCATTTGTATACTAAAGTTAAAACTTCTTGCATCAGTATGGTGTGATCTCCACCGTTCGAGTATTTTTTTTAAAAGTATAATGTTAAAATTAGACCTTAACATTTGTTTTAATAGCTATTTTTTAAATCATTTTAATTTTTAATGTTTTATTTTTTTTATCAAAATGGTTTTATTGGATAGAAACCATTAGTTTACTAACAGTCAATACATGTCATTAACGTGATATTTTTCATGTGATTAACTACTAACATGACATGTGACATATCACCTAAAGTGATGACATGGTATATGACATGATAACAATTAGGCACATGAAAAAAATTGTTAAGTCAACTACACACGTTAATCGTTAGTCAACTAACGTGGCTTCCATTCAATAGAAATTATTTTGACCAAAATTAAAATATTGAGGGAGTAAAATGCTACAAAAAGTAAGGGTTAGAATAATTGTTCCAATAAATGTTGAGGCTAATTTTGATATTATTTTTCTAAAATTAAGTACTTTGTTCACATAAGACATTACTACTTTCGGAGAGCGATCTGATTCATTGAAGCAATCATTTGAACCAACTCAACCATTTCAGGTTTCACCAATAGTTCATTAACCGAAAACTCGTTGCTTCCGCCACCGCCGATTGTCTTTTTCTCTACTTCATGGCCGGAGTTTGGCTTTGCTAATAAATAAGGGGGTGGTTGCTCTACTTCTTCGTGCTCCCAGACTTCGAATTCGATACCGCAAACTTCATAATAGACCCCTGCCATTGCCAAAGCTTCGATTGACATCTCTAAACTTAAGCTACACTTTGCTCCAGATATTTAGTAAATGTAACTCTCAACTGTTCATGGCGAGGACTGGCATGAAGCATTGATTTATATAGGAGAAGCAGTTTCAGAATTTTTCTTTTTTGGATGGTGATTGCATGTATATGACCTTTAATCCGTGAATCGTGACTGGGGTCGTGGTTTTCGGGAGGTGGAAAGTAAAACCATTCATTGTATTTCTGTTGAAGGAATCGTAACCTCAGACACCTAGATGATCAAAAAAAGTTTGAACACTTATTTAAGAAAAATGTTATAATTTAGACACTTATTTTGTAATTACGCCATTTTAACTGTTCATACTATTTCCGTTGTCCACTTGCATTTTGAGATGCTCGTACCTTGTGCAAATATTTTAAAAATATCATGAAAAAGTCAATCTAAATTGGGTCAAACCGATCAAACTAGACGGACCATCCAAGCATTGAACAATCTGATAATAGAGAAAATTTCGAACCTTTGAAAAGAATAATATTTCGTTTTACCACTGATGTCACTTAACGCTATTGTCGGAGGCGTCACACATCAACTCGAACAGATGATTCCAATTTGGTGGTTGCACAATCAGAGTCGTGATTAGTTTCTCCTTCAACGTCTTGAGCGACTTTTTTCACTATGGGTTGAAGTCAAATACTTGATCTTTTTAGAGAAGATTGTTTAACGGTTGTGCTATCTTTGAAAAATCCTTGATAAATCGTCAATAAAATTCTACGTGGCCAAGAAAATAATGTATTTACCTTACCGTGGTAGAGTAAAGGAGTGAACGAATAACATCGGTCTTGGTTTATCAACCATAATTTCGTTAGAAGAAACAATGTGTCCTAGAATCAACCCTTTATCGACCATAAAATGACATTTTTTGTAGTTTAAAACAAGGTTGTATTATAGGTACCGCTTTAAAGTATTCGATATATTAAAAAGGCATTCAGCAAAGGTATTACCATAAACCGTGAAGTTGTTCATGAATACCTCTATACCCTTCTCGATGAAATCAGAAAAGATGTTGAGCATTGATTCTTCGTATATGGCATCATTCGAGTCTTCGAAATTTGTTTGTTCTTTTCGTTTCTTTCTATTCTCTCGAAGTGTACAATCGTGAATTCGTCTAGCTCGAGCTTCGATTTCTTGATTAAATTCTTCTAATGTGCCCGGATTCTACTTGGTCATAAATTAAAAAACAAAAAAATTAAATCGGTTATTTGTCGTAGTCTCCGACAACTGTGCCAATTTTGGCAGTGTGTCGTTTTGATGTCAAAATTAAATGTTCCTTAATCTCAATAAAAGAAATGAATTAAGCAGAATAGAGATAGTAAGGGTCGATCCACAGGAACTATGAGGTTAACAAATTCCTCGCTTTTAATCTAGCTTCAGGCGTGGTTTTTAGAGAAGAGAAAACAAATGGGGATTTGAGAGTTGAAATAAAAGTGAGGTTTGATTCAAAGAAAACAAGAAAGTAAACTAAGAAAATTTAAAATAAAATTTCAGTTGATAAACTCAGCCTTGGTTAAAGCTTCTGACTCGATTTAAATCAATCTTTGTTTACCCTTGTGTGGTATTGATTGATGTATGTGGCCTATAGGTGTTGATGTATGTGGCCTATAGGTATTGTTGTATGCTTGTGTGTACACAACAATCGTCTTGTTTGATTGAAATATCTGGATATATTATAGTTAGTACCAAGGCACTTATTTTCTAGTTGGGCGTAGATGTCCTGAGTACTCACAATGAGAAAGTTTGTCTGGTGTACATTTTCGATGCAAAATTTTCGAATCTCACCCTAGGTATCCGAGGGTGCCATAGGTAGGCTAGAGGGGTGTGAATCCCGAGCGTGTATTGAATTTTATGATGGATGATAGCATGGTATTATAGTTAGAGACTAATATATGCATACTCATGGCAAGACCCTTAACACTAGACTAAAGGAAGCATGAGATTCAAACCATTATGATAGTGGATGCACCTTGAGTATATGGTTTGGTAGTATTGATGGCATTTTAGTGTTCCTTCCCTGATTATACTTGTTAGCATTCTTATTTTATGAATGGATGTAGTATAGTAGAGGTACTGTGTGGCGCAGGGCTTGCGAGCTCAACATTCGAAATGTTTTTCAGTTCGTAGGTTTCAGGTTTCATGAAGTGCGATGGGACAACAATATCATCAGAGGAGTCTCAACGATATACCAGAGTATAATGATGACGACTTAGTGGGCATGTAGAGGTCATAATTTGAAATGATTCAACTTGTAATAATTAATTATTTATTTTATTTATCGAGATTTTAAATTGGGGCTCCACTTTTGTATATGGTTATGGTTTCATATTTGTGTAAATGTTTTAAAAGTGAATATGGTTTCAAAAAAAAGTTTGGTTAATCCCTTCGATGATTCTATGTGATACTTGAATCTTCCGATTTAGGTATTACAGATAAACTTACGATGTTATATTTGGGCCCTTTAAATGGCCCAACAATACGAGCATAAAATTCAAAATATAAAGATCAAAGCCCCAATTCAAATATACACAACTGATATCTACATTCCCAAATACATATTACAGTGCCAATCGATCATACACGCACAATAATTTCAATAATATATTACCTCATCGCTTAGATTGCTTAAGCAGATTTTAAGCACATTGTAGGATAGGTGATAAACATTAATAACATTAATAATATATATATATATATCATTTATACAGAATATTTTCTTCCACCATAAGTATGTCAGTGATAAAATCTGGGGTAAACAATGTATTTAGTATCTAAACTTTTAATTTTTTCAAAATCATATCTAACATTTAGTTTTTGTTTCCTTTTAGTACCCTACCGTTAAAAACTTAACACGATTAGTACCTAAGTTATCAGTTTTGGTCCGTTTTAGTACCTAACTTTTAGTTTTTTCCAAAAATTAATGTTAAATTTTGAACAGAAGTACTAAAATGAAACAAAAACTAAAATTTATGTATAGTTTTGAAAAAATTAAAAGTTTAAATACTGAAATGAACAAAAACTGATAGTTTAAGTACTAAACACATAATTTACCCTTAACCTCCGATTTTGGAGAACCTTCGTTTGATCGTTTCAAATTAAAGACCGGGCCCTTTCCTAGGGACACTCCGCATCCTCGTATTTCATTTTCTTATTTACTGTTAATAGAATATGGTTACGCATTTTTCCCTTTTTCTCCTCAAATACAAATTGAAAAAAGATATGGATTTGTATTTGATTTAATTAATTTATATAATCCTGATTATTAGGGACTCTCCGGCTGTTCTTAAATTACAACAATATATGTATATATTGCATATTTATACACAATAAGAGCTTCCAAAAAGTTTAAACCCAATGGCGACCACAAAGCTGCTGATATTGCCTTTCTTCCTCATCTCTCTGCCCTTCTCCTCCATTGCTTTTTCCGTAAGTAACCCTCTTTACCACCTCCATTATCTCAGCCGCATGTCTAAACTCTCTTTTCTAAAACATGCAGGACGATGTAGATTGCATTTACTCAATGTACATTAGAACCGGAACCATCATCAAAGGCGGAACCGACTCCATCATCAGCCTAACACTCTATGATGCCATCGGCAATTATGTCAATATTAGCAATCTGGAAGCATGGGGAGGGTTAATGGGTGCAGGGTATAACTATTTCGAACGTGGAAACTTGGATATTTTCTCAGGTAGAGGACGTTGCTTGACTGCACCGATATGCGCCATGAACTTAACATCAGACGGTTCGGGTCCTCACCATGGATGGTACTGCAACTATGTGGAAGTCACCACGACCGGTGTCCATACCCCTTGCACCCAGCAGCTGTTCACAGTGGAACAATGGTTGGCACTCGATATTGAACCCTTCGACCTCACTGTCATTAGGAACTATTGTCCCGCCCAGACAAGTGCTGATCATCATCGTTCTGAAATGTAGATCAAGCACCTGATGAGGGCTGTAATTAATTTCTCAAATCATAAAATCGCTTTGCAAGCCATCTTGTTGGTCATCCAATACTCATTTCAAATTCAGCATATCCTCGAATTTTATTAGGATTTCAAAATTCAATTCCTCCAGTCAAGTTCAACAACACCCTATTCATTTCGACAATTGAATTGTCCTACGAGAAATCAAACTATATCCGAGAAAAATGGACCCAACAAAAAACTATAAGAAAGGAAAGATAGGGATTGGTTTCAATAGTTTCTATGCTATCCGAATTTCGAAGTGTGAGATGAAACATTACTCAAGTACACCAAAGCCTTGCTACTCGGCATTAACTTGATGTTTGTTCATTTCCTTCGATATTTCCTTCAACAGTTGCTCAGAATTGTACTCTACTCCAAAGCATCTTACAACCTTCATTTTCGGGTCTATCAAATACCTGGGCATTTATAACTTATCTATATCAAATTGTAAACAATAACAGCAATAAAAAGGATTGAGCAATGTTTGGAACATACATGTTGTGAGAAGACTCAACAAGATAATCATCACCCTCTTCTTCAACCTTTTTGAAGTAAACACGATATTCTTGTGCCATTTGCCTTACAGCACTAACAGGTCCTGTCAATCCCACTATTCTTGGATCAAACTCTGCACTTTGAATGCAAAAGTGGAGAATATATTAGCCAAACACATGTAAATGTACACAAGAGTAGCTTATTATTGTCAAATATTCAGTTACAAGTCATACAACAAACCTTTGAGGTAAGCACGGAGTTGTGCAGGACCATCACGCTGAGGATCAATTGTCACGAATACAGGTAAAACCTTCAGATTCTCTTTTGACTCTTGATACAAATAAAAACAAAAATTGTCATCTATATTACAAGACTAATAGCTATATATAACACTAAATCTTTTTTAAGGGGTTGTACCTAATGTATCTATAGCCTTGGCCATTATTTGGACTTGATCAGGTCCACTATCAGGAGATGATGTATAGCCAAAGTACAGGAGAACCCAATTTCCAAGAAACTCTTGTTCATTAACGACCCGGTTTTCTGTATTTACCAAAGTGAATGGACCACCGATAATTGGAGCTGCTGCCGTATCAGAACTACCAGTATTGTATTCCGTGCCTGCTCAATAAAAACACATTGCATACTAAAGATAGTAGTCATGTTTATACTGTCCTTCGTTCACTTGGCATTGGACAAAACACCAAAAAGTTGCATATGAAATTTCATGGATCTTTAAACCTCAAATTGATGCAACCAGAGGAATATTTTGGATCGTGCAAGACAAATCACTTAAGCAAACTAAATAAGCAGTAAAAAGTAAAAACCCCTGCCCAGTATATACAATCTTATGTCCACTCTTCTTCACCAGCTTCTCCAAAAAAATTTGGAAGATCCAAATCAGATGTAGCTTTTAATAAAGCATACTCCTTATCTTAACATGTAGCTTTTAATGCCCATCAATATTGTTTTAGGCATTAATTACATCTTACTGCTTGCATGGCCTTTACAAAAGAAGCAGAAATTATAGTAAAATGATTTTGTTTTAGGTAGGGGTAAAAACTATAGCCCCAAGCTTTATGGTCATATCTCTATTTTATCCAGCCATATTTCCACTGTTTTTAGATATTTTATTGTATGCCAACCAAAGCATACTTCAGAAAAAGATAGCGAAACACATACTTTTCTACAGCCTAATAAGAATCAAACAATAGATTATCTATGCACAAATTCAAGCACACTCTGTCACTTGATGATAACTATTCAATTAGATATATGACCATAGATAAAATAATACAGAGAACTTCAAATGCTTGGTTTCCAATAGTAGTGATGTATCATGGAATCATCTTGAGAATAATAATATGGAAGATCTACACCAAATGATTTCATTACCATAAATTCCTTCTATTTGCTACAGGTCAAAGTCATTCACGAATCAAGAGACAAATATAGTAATGCAAAAGAAACATCCGACAGAGTTATCTGAACTATCAGTGATTGCATTTTGGTTCAACTTAGCATATCTTTAGTTAACCTTACCAACCTCCTAACCATTTAAGAAAGTATCATAAAGCAATAAATCTGTTTGAAGACCTTCTAGTGGGCATTTCTCACAAAACTAGAATATGATGCTATTATGATACTATACAAACAGCAAAAGGACAATAATTGGGACATTTAGGCACAAGCATAATCAAAGAAGCGCAATAACATTAAAAAAAAAGTTAGACCAAAACTGGTAAGTAGAAACTTCTCAACAATTCCCAGCTCATTTATATAAAAGCACAAATGCAGAGGAAGTCGATGAAATAAGCTACTTGTAGGTAGTTAAATATGAACCCTAGCAATGAAATTCATGATCAGCTGACCATTAACTAAAGCAAACAATTGCTTGGTCTCATCTATTTTAATAGTTTTTTCTTCAGAGAAATATCAACAGAAAACAAATTGTGTAACTTCTACACAAGAAAGAACAGAAAATGTAGAGACCTTGCATATCTGAACAACCTAGTTTCAAACTCCTGGTGAACAACTACTAAGATTCCAACATCTAGCCAGGCATGTACACGACAAGTCGACAACAATAGAAGATAAACAGGTACCTCTCTTAATTGCTCTTCTCTCATCATTATAATGCAGAAAAGCTACCAATCCACCAAAGCCTAGTAACATAGGTGGCTGCACAAAAGGAGGATAAAAATAACTATTAGACCATTATTCCTACTTCTTATGCCCATAAAAGATGTTCGAACACAATGTAACAACAATGGAAAGCACATATGAACAAGCAACTTCACGAGCATACAATAACATAAGCACCCCATGAGCGAGAAGCCTGTGTTTCAACATTCACAACAGGATGACCAGTTGGCTTTTTGTAACCGTTCTTTGCTGATTGAGCATACCCACAAGATTGAATTCTCCTAGATGGATCAAACCTACATTTCCATAAAATCATTAGAACCTATAGCTTCACCAATTACACTAAAAATTGCTTCATACCGTCTATAAGACTAAAACTATGATCCCAATATCCTATATACAAGGAAAAGAAGTTCGAACGGTAATTACAACAAACACCCAAACCACCATTCATCGTCAAAATACACGATATACAGAAAAAAGACTCGTTGAAGAACAATCCCAGCATCAGAACAATTCAAAACGACAACAACAACTCCGGAATAATATTAGTTCAAACTAACATTCAACTGAAAAAGATCAGGTATCATCGATTGAACAAGATTCTTCAATGTTCCCTAGAAGAAACTTAAGAGCATAACGATCGTAGTCTTCATTCCTTTTCATTTTATATGATAATAAAACTTCAAAAATGAAAACCCAGTTTGTTCCAACAGCAAAAAGAAAGAAAGAAAAAGAGAAGGAAAAGATTAGAGTGCGACCTTGGGAGAAGAGCAGGAGAACGAGCGAAGCGGTGCTTAACAGAAAAGAACACGAAGCGAGAAATGGGCATATTACAGATTTGGGGAAATAATTTGGAGAATTTACTCTTGGGAGCAAAAACCCATCTGTGATTCCTTTTTATTTAAGCACTCAAATTATGAAGCATCATCTGCCTCTCTAGCAGAAATTTTATTGCTCGCAATCATGTATATATTAAAATAAATAAATGTTTTTATTTTAGAATTATTACATTTTCTTGTATAACTTTTTAATATTTTTGACAAACTGTATGTAATTTTGATTAATTTGTTAAAATCCATTTCCCATATATGCATTGATAAAAATTAAATTCATGACTATTGTTGTATTAATTGTAAGATATAATCACATTTTTGCACTCATTTTTAAAATATCATTTTAGTCTTTTATAGAAAATAAAGTAATAATTTTAAAATAAAAAATGTTATCGGCCCTATTTATAATAATAGAAGATGTTGCCAATCTTACTTTTGTATAGATTTATTTTACACGAATCAACTTACGTTAATGGTTAAAATAATTATCGTTGTTTTTACAAATCACGAGTTCGAACACCAACAACTGTAGCAGGATGATTGAACGTTCATTGTCAAATTGTTTAGAGTATTTAGAACATATGCTACTTTATAATCACTTTAGCTTAATAAAAAAAATATTTTATTTAGCGTAAAATAATGGGGCAGAATTTATTAACTAATCTTATTTTTTTATCACCAGTAATATTCTTTCAAACAATTAGTTAAAGGTAGTATTATTCTCACCGGAGGTCTTATGTTCAAATAATGCATTTATAAGGTATATACACATTATCAATGATTAAGAAAGATTCTGAACATATATTGTTCCGTGTTGTGTGTGCTTAATATTTAATGCAAATGATGTGCAAGTATACACAATCGCCAAAAATAATATAATGATAAGTGAATATCGTATTTACAGGGATTGGTGAAGTTTATAAGTTTAGGCACAACAGCAAACTAAATTATCTAAGTATAGTTAATGATATTTACACTAGTTATGCCTAGGCAAAGGAAATGTGTATGTATGATGGAAGAATAGTGCGGTGATATGAATAAGTGATCAAATAGGGTGTCACGACAAAATGGATGGAAATTTCATGACAATGGAAATGTGTATAGTATGATCAAGTGAAATGTCAAGACAAAACATAAAGGTAAACACACAAATTGAATAAAATAACTTGATAATCCTCACACTGTAAACTTCTATGGGAATGAATGGTGGAGTCACTTAGGAAACTTAAGTCTTATCTTCTAGGATGATCTAATCTTCTAATGCCTTACTTGTTCGACAGAGTTTGCTAAAGGTGTTTTATGCTATCTCTAGTCTAATAACCTAACAAAATAGGATGTCACGGCAAATCCTCTCAGCCCGAGCAACAACATTCTAATCTATTGACTAAGCTCTACCCCTCTTATTCATTGAAATCCTAACTTAATTTCTCTCGAACACTAAGGGATTAGGCTCTAGTAATTAACTAAAACATATTGATTATGCTAATCTTCCTTTAGTTTCTCTCGAACACTAAAGATTAGTGACTACGTTTCTCTCGAACACCTAGTCTTCTACTTAAGAAATGGACACTCTTATGCATCATACAATCTCAATTGATTAAGAACTCATAAGCAAAACAAGTAATGAGCAAAAGAAATCAGTAATCAACCATTTAAAATAAAGATTCGACCATCCATAATTAATCTACTAAATATAATCTAGTTCATGGTGGGGTTCGAATAAACCATTGAATAACCCAATACGTTCATTCGTTACTTACAACCCAATTCAAGATCAACCATAAAATAGAGCCAAGGTTGGAGAAGAAGGCACTCTGACATGCACTGTCGGCGCTCCCTTCAAACCACCACGAACGGTTAGAACGACTAGCTTCTCTCGGATGCACGTATCACTTCCTCGAGCTTCACCAATGGAGGAACACCACGAAAGTTGGAAAAAAGAAAAAGGAAAAAGAACTTGAGCTCGTCAATGGAGGAATGAAAGTTGGAAAGAGTGATTCATTCTTTTTTTCAAATGTGGTGTCCTTTACAAAATAAATCTAAGGAATGTACTTAGGGAATTTTCACCCAAAATTCCTATGATACCACAAAGTACATTTCAAATGCATGAGGGTTGGCTCCATAAGTGGCAGTGGGTCCCATTCAGGTGGTTAACAACAACAAACACGTGCTAATAAACAGTTGTCGTTTTTTAAAATATCTTTTCGTCCTATTCTACGCCTAGAAATGTCAACTTATTTCAGCCTGCTTCAACAACTTGTTATGTAGCGGCATTTTTCTCGCACACCTTATGCTCATTGCATTTTGCACATCAACAACTAACCAAACATTCCTCACAACATAGCACCTTAACAAGATAAAACTCCGAGTCAAAACACATCCATCAAATGCAACTATATGCTCATAAATACACCTAAATGAACTTATATGAGCCTTTATAAAATCAATAACTTAAGTGAAAAGGCCCTAAATATAGCCTTTTTACAGAGTTATCACATCCCCAAACTTAAGATATTGCTTTTCCTAAAGCAATGGATAGTAGTTAACACAATCAAAATGTCATGGAAATTTTCAACAACAAGACAATTAGATAAAATTGAATTTCAGCCTGTCGAAACGATTTTTTTCTAAAAGGTGAAAAAAGGTGAGATTTTGAAAAACCACATTAATTTTTAATTTACCTTTTTCAATTGATTTTTAATTTAAAAAACAAATGTGATTTTAAAACCTCTCGTTTCGAAAAATTTGAAATTTTCTTTTCGTTAAAAACATATTGTTCAAAGAGTCGCCACCAATCTTTGATTAGGGTGTGATTGGGCACCCAAATATGTTTGTTATTTTAAATAAAAAATTAATTTTAATTAAAACAACAAATTAAGGTCTGCGTTATCAAAATCCGAGTTCGGGAGTCGGTTACGTGTAGGGAAGGATTAGCACCCCCACGACGCCCTAAATTGGTACCTAGTCGATTAATTAACGTCCTTGCATTGAACTTTACAAATTCGAACTTAATTTGATTTTTGATCCCATAAAACAATGACGTAAATTTAAAAACATTCAAAAGCACTCAAACAAATTAAATTAAAATTACCAAGTCGTTTTAGAAAGATAAAGAATGTTCGATTATTTACAAATCGAGACCAGATCTTAAAGATATAACAACCTTTTCTCGATAAATTTAAATAACGAACATTCCTTTTCTTTTCGTTCCCAAATTTTAGAGTGGTTGATCAATTTTTAGGCTAATGGGATAACTTTATTTTAAAATCATTAAAAGCGGACCTCAAATAAGTTATGACTGCACCACTTAAAACAATTTTAAATAAAAGGGTATTACCCTTAGTCGTTATGTAATAGGTCGAGTTATGCACGTGAGGCTATCATGCAAATTATGCAAAAAGTGGATGTCATGCAAAAATTAATTAAACAAAATTAAAAAAATATCATACAACGTGACATACAAAAAATGATATACATACATTTAAAATTAAAAATTATAAACCATGCATTTATAATGTACAAGTATGACTCAAATATAAAACAAATCATAACATGCTAAACTATAAATTAAAATATATATATATATACATATTAAAAAGTGACTAAATTTAAATAAACATAAAATTAAACATACTAATTAAAAATTAAAACAAATACTTAAAGAAAAACAAACATAAACATAATGAACTTAAATAAAACACGCATAAATATAAGAGATTTACACCTAAATAATTCAACAAAATTATAATTAATACTAAAATTGGAAAATGATGAAATCGGGACAAAAAAAAGTCAAATTCAGAAATTAATCTCTCGGGTGGCAAATTTACAAAGGATGCTTAAGATTTGAGGACTAGGAACTAATTTTCCCTAAACAATTAATATAAAACCTAAATACCCTAAACCTAGACTAACCTCACAGGAACACTCAATCACTCCTCACCTTTCCAATCTCTCCACTCACGCACATATATATAATATTTGAAGAAATTTTAAAATAATCTAACCTTTCCATTCTCTCCACTCACGCAAATTCCCTCTCACAGAACCCATGGCTTCTCCTCAGCTTTTCACTGCTTCAATCGAACCCAAAACTAAGCCTCCTATTCAACGCTAAACTCAACCCGAGTAAATCTCTAATCTCTCCCTATTTTATAATTTTTGAAAGAAAAATAAAGAACTACACATAGCAGTACTAGATATTTCGAAAAACAAAAAGGAAAAATAACTACTTACAAATTGCTTGTATTGCTTTCAAAAAAGATAGGGAAGAACCCGATTACACTGTTTGATCTCTGAATCCTAGAACGTTGTTTTCACAGTTTTTTTTTGTTTTTCTATTTGTTCTGGTGTGAAAAAAAATCTAGTCTCTGTAATCTCTCCTATCGCTCTGTGATCTCTGTTTTTTTTATAATCCCCCTCATCGTTTTTTCTGTTGGTTTTTTAATGGTCTCTGTTTTCTCTCCCTGTCCTCTCGGTTAATTCTTCTCTGCTCCTTCTTTGTCTCCTTTTTCTGTAATTTGTGATTGTGTCCTCCCGTGATGTATATAGTTTCTGATGGTTTTTAGTAGTTAAAAAAAACTGACCTCTCTTGATAATTACTTACTAACCCTTCTCATAACTGCCTTTGATTTCCATGTTGGGCTTCCAATTAGTTTGGGCACGGGCTAGATCCTTCAGGGCTCCAACTTAATCTACACTGTAACTCATATTGGATCTAGAACTCGAACGGAGTTCCCGGACGAAACCGAGCATCTACAGCTGCCCCTCTTTGTTCATTGTCGTGTAACGAGAATAGGACAAAGATCAAAAGATGATCGAGTTTGTCCGGTTCTACGAGCTCCAAAAGATTAAAGCACTTCATTGTTATTTCGGGATAAATGAAACTTGAAAAATCTTCAAATGATAAGTCCACTCCCTATTTCTTCAGGGAGTATAAAACTCGAACAATCTTCATAAAATGAGTCCGCTCCCTATCCGTTCAGGGAGTATAGAACTTGAACAATCTTCATAAACCGGGTCCGCTCTCTAT